TTTTTATAGCATTGCTACCTGAGAGAGATTATCTTTGACTATTGTGGCTTTAGTGTCCCCCCCCCCCTATTCCAACACAGCTTTTGCTGTGGGTAAAGTTTGGTGCACTTCATTGACCATTCTGTGCAGCATGTGACTCTCTATGCATCAGTGCCTGTTGACCACTTTAAGATGGCTGACACACCTCTTTCCCTGTGGCCTCTAGGCTTTCAGATGTGGGCTGATTCCTTTATTGCCTCAGCTCCAAGCCAATTGATTTGGAAGTTTGGTTTTGAAAGAGGAACCAACCTAGGTACTAGGCAGCCTCCCACATTATCAGTCAGGTGAATGAGGGAGATCCACTGCTCTTCATTTTCCCAACTCTCTAATCCCAGGGGTTGGGATGGGAGCAGGGGGAAGAGCCTTTTGTTAGCCTCTAGCTATCCCAAGTGCAGGAAAATTGAGTTGTGATATGGCTAAATCAGTGAACAGGGTTTATCCCTTTAAATGTCCCCTTAGGGGGCCCATGTGCTGTGATTGGGGAATGGTCTTCCCTCCAGTTGATATTGAGAAGGGCAAAAGGCAGTAAGCACACCCTCCCTTTTTTCTTTACATGCCTAGTATATTGGAAATCCGGGCTGAGGCTGCTCACATAAAAAATCAGCAACAAAATTAGTGCTGCTTTAGTGTCTACTATCTCAAGAAAAGCTGTAACTCTCCAGAAGAATTACAAAAACTCCACAATTTACAGAAATTTCCTCCCCAAATTTCTTCTAATTTATGCCTTACAGGAAGAAGCAACAGGTGAGGTTCCAGCTGCTGCTGAACTCCAAGATTCAACAACCCAACCTTTTTGTAGTAAGGAATGCTGGGAATTGTAGTTTAGCAAAATTGTGGGTGTTGACAGCTCCAAAACAATTAGGACTAGCATACATAGGCTGCCAAAATCCAGACAACACAGGATGGCAATAAAGAGGGATGAAGGATGAATGCAAAATATTCAATTCAGATTCCCAGCCTCCCAGAAAAACCACCACAAGCATCTTATCCGACTGTATTGACACAATGACACCTTGAATCATGAATGATCCACATCAACTGGGTTTCCGCAACAAGCTAGCCTAAAAAGTGGTTGTTGGTCAGGTGAAGCTTTCCCAATGCAGGTAAAGGTGCACCTGTGTACCTCTTCAAATCACTTGTTTTAAAAAAAGTACTGTTCTCCAAATTGATTCAAATTAAAATACTGCTCTCCAAATTGACCTAAAAGCAACATTTCATACACTATTGAGAAGGAAGATAACTGGTGCTTTATATCTAGGACAGGAGTCTCAAAAATGATCTCAAGCAATAATTCATCCTGTATAGTCGTTTGTCGGGTCAATGGACCCAGAATAAGTTCAAAGACGATGCAGCCACTCATTTCCCAAGCCAGCCATGAAGTCCACAAGTCTTAAAGTTCCCAAGTTTGGACACCCCTGGCATAAAGGAGGGAGATAATTTGATACTACCAACCTGTTCCAGAGCCTTTCCCTCGTCGCTCCCTTTTTCTCGAAAGTATTTGATGTTTGTCCATTGTTATTTCACTGGATTCTCACGTCAGGAATCCTCCTTTCGGGCTCTTGCTGAACCCCGCTTTACTTTTCCCGCAAAGTTCTGCTTTGCTAACTGGCGAAAACGCCAGACTTCGGCGAGGCGTGGCTGTTGCCTGGGGAAACGCCAGGGGGCGCGCGAGGACGAGCGTTGGGAGCCCCGACGGCCACTTAAGCGCGCCATGGAGCCACCGGCGGAGACCGGAGGCGCCGCAAGAGAAAGAGAAAGGGAGAGGAGAGAGCGAGAAGCCATGGCTCACGGCAACCCTGTGGTGAGAGTGAAAGAAGTGTGGGGTGGAGGGGAATTGAAAGAAGGAAAACAAAAAAAGTGGATTGAAAGCCAGCCCAGGTTGAACCGACCCCCCTCCCCAGGATAGGAGGGTCTGCTCAGTGCAGGAGGAGGCTGCGTTGATTGTCTCCTGGCTATTGAATACAGTAAACCTATTTTCTGAAGGTACATAATAGGGCTGGGTTTATAGGCTATCACAACTAAGATTAATACTAAACGGAGCATACTAGCAAATGTATTTGCTATCCTTTACATGGCCTCAGTAAGTGAGTGGGGGGGGGGAAACCCATCTTGCTGAAGAGGAAGGACTAAATCCTTTAAATAAAACAGGATGATGACACACAGCCCAGTTGGTTTGAGAAGGCTGTGAAATGGGGTAGATAGGCTATAAGCAACAGTATTTCAGACTTGTGCAGTTGGCCTCTAGATTCCTATTCACAAGATAAGATAATGGGATGCCTAGGTGACTATAAGTAGTAGTGGCTGCCTGTGAAGATGCCTTGAGTAGGATAAAGAGCTGGATTAGGTCTTGATTCATCAAGGGCTCCTGCTCTGAGTAATCTGACCACCACGTAATGATGCTACAGGTGGCCTGAATCTCCTTCCATTCAGAAGTAAATCAGTCCCACCCATCACTTGGAAGTAGTTTGGGGATAAGTGTAGAATGAGTTTTGAAACAATATCCTTGAAAAAATATAACATGGTAACCCTCTTAGAATTAGTCTGAAGGGTAGCCATCTTCTTAATTGACTAGATTAGATAGTAATTCTTTAGTTGGCAAGAAATGTGTCTGAAAGTCAAATGAGGAATAATATTTAATGTAATGTACTTTCTGTTTTGAGCATCAAAGAATTTCATGCTACATTATTTCACTAATTATAACAAAGTATGTTGAGCCATAATGATTTACCTTAGAACATCTCACAATTTAGTGCTGAATTCAAATTTGAAATTTTTGGCTGATACTTCTGACCTTCAGATTATCACAGTTCCAAAATAACATGAAGCAGGTATCTGAAATGTTTTGTTTTTTTGATTCAGTAAATCTAGAGTTCAGACACATACCTGCTGTTCACAAAAATGCTCATTGTTTCTTTAAAAGGTCATCTGCTTCAAATTACTTGTTTGAAGTTGTGTGTGTATAATTTAGTGCCTGCCTTGTATTTCTGTTCACCCAAATAATAAATGATAAAAAACATAGAAGAAATCTAGTTGGAAAGCTTTAGTTAACAGAAGGACTGCTTTATGGGTGAATACTTAAAAGAATCAAACTAAGCCCATGCTTAAATTAATTTGCTATCTTTCACAATGACTCTGATCTAAATTGAATATAGTTTTGATCTGAATGCAAAACATAATCAGTCCAAATTTGCACTGCATTTCAGAACAGATTTTAAAAACTGCAATACAGTTAACATTATAAAATGCCAGTATTTATTTATTGTGGCATTAGTATATAATTCATCCCATTCAGAAATAGTGCGGAGAAGAGCAACAAAGATGATTAGGGGACTGGAGGCTAAAACATATGAAGAAAGGTTTCTAGAATTGGATATGTCTAGTTTAATGAAAAGAAGGACCAGCAGTGATATGATAGCAGTGTTCCAGTATCTCAGGGGTTGCCACAAAGAGGAGGGAGTCGAGCTATTCTCCAAAGCACCTGAGGGTAGAACAATAAGCAATGGGTGGAAACTAATCAAGGAGAGAAGCAACGTAAAACAAAGCAGAAATTTCCTGATAGTTAGAACAATTAATTAATGGAACAAGTTGCCTCCAGAAGTTGTGAACGCTCCAACATTGGAAGTTTTTAAGAAGAGATTAGATAATCGTTTCTCTGAAGTGGTGTTGAATTTCTTGCTTAAGCAGGGGGTTGGACTAGAAGACCTCCAAGGTCCCTTCCAACTCTGTTATTCTATTCTATTCCCACACAACAAGGAGTTTTGAGAATCATTGGCAAGAACTTGCCTGCACCTCAGATGCCAGTTTTGATAAGGAGATCATCTTAAAAAGGAAGGTGATTATTGCTTATTCCCTCATTTTGGATAATGCAATTACATTTAAAAAACATTTTGAGAAAGGAAAAATAAATGATTTTTTCACTTAATATTTTAAGGAGGGTGTGGCTTTTGTTGACAGGATGAACAACATATTGTACAATAAGGCCAGGTGGAATATTTAAAACTTCAGTCTGTGCATGATTCAGCTTGCTCCCTCTTTTTCTGAGTGAGTTGCACTAGCAAGCCAGCATTTGCACAGATATCTTTTGAGGACAATCACATGAATGTTGTTTTCTCTGTTATCATCACAATTGGGAATGGAACAGGGAGGAAATCTGGACCTGGGTTTTAAAACTCTCTTATGGAACTTCTCTTTAGATGACTATGTGTATTCTTTGGGACTAGGCATCATTGTGTTGTATAAATATACTCAGAAAACTATTCTCTTTTTGGGATAATTGTGCAGTCTACAGAAAAGGAGTAACAAATACTAAGCCAAAAAAAATTAAAGGCCCAAGATTAAAAAAAAGAAGCACGCTAAAACAATTTATACATAGCACCATTCATTTAGACCAGGGATGTCAAACTCTATTTCATTGAGGACCTCATCAGAGTTGTGTTTGACCTCGGGGGGGGGGGGGGGGGGGCTGGGTGGGTGTGGCCAGGATGAGGGTAGCTGGCTCGATGTCACTACTGTCGGGTGCTTCTGCCAGTGAAAACAGGCCCTTGAGCTCCATTTTTGGCTGCCATGGCCTCCTGCAACCCTCTGCCAGTGAAAACAGAGCTTGGGAGGGCTGCAGAGTAATTCTGTTTTCACTGGGTTGCAGGAGGCCATGGCAGCCAAAAATGGAGCTCGAGAGCCTGTTTTCACTGGCAGAAGCATCGCAGACTGGTCCTTCACTGTTTCCAGGGGTTTCTGGGCCTTGAGTTTGACACCCCTAATTTAGACCATTGTGCTGGTCACTGAATTTTTGTATTCAATCTCCATTCAGCACCCATTTATTTTTGACCCATTTATTCTTAACAAAAGACAGCATTCTGAGATTCTTTGTTTCTGCACCCAATCCTTATTTCTTAGATGTATTATCTCAATGGAATATAGGACCCAGAAGCAGCTCTCTTCTTACATCTCTTTCTGTTGTACAGCCTAAATTCTACAAATCGGTCATTGATGATGTGATTGAAGGAGTCCGAGATGTTTTTCTGGAAGAAGGTGTAGATGAACAAATTCTGAAGGAGCTCAAGCGGGTTTGTTGATAAATCCATTTCTCCTGCCTATCTTATCTTTTCTATCCTTTCTAGTTGGTAATAAGTAAATCACATACCTGTTCTTGGTAGATGTGCCCAGTTAGTCAATTGCCACTGTTTTTGTCCATGTTGAACATTTGAAAATACTACTGTCTGTCATGGGATTCTAAGATGAGTCATATTTTTTCTTATAATGGAATGCTGAAAACATTTCTCCAACAATATACATTTGGGGTTATAAGCTTCATAACCATCAAATAGATTCTGGGCTGAATGAATATTTTCCCCCTATATCTCAGTTGTCATGTAAGTTCTTCTTTTAGCTGTTGAAATTCTACTGGAGAAAGTAATTGAATTGGTTAGTGCCCATATTTCCTTGAAAAGTACAGGATTGTTGCCAATAAGGTTTACTTTCCTCCAGAGACAAAACCAAAGGAGAATAAACATTTTATAGTATGTTCCTAACAATTATTGACAAATATATCAGGAGAGCATAGTGGAGGTTGTATGGGTTTGGATGGGGAGAAACCATCTCTGGCTCAACCTGATCAAGACTGAATGATTGTGGGTGTTTGAGTTGCCCAGATCTTGGGTATTCCATTTCTGACCTTGGATGGGATGCCACTTCCCTTTTAGAGTTGGGATGCAGTCTAAAGGTCTTCCTGGACCTCCCAGCTTCTGCTTGAAAAACAGTTGTCAGCTATGGCCAGGAAGGCCTTTGTACAACTTCATCTGGTGTGCCAATTGCACCTTTCCTAAATTGGATGCCCTTCATTCAAACCTTAATGCTGTGACTGCTGCAATATGCTCTACATGGGGCTGCTCTTGAAGGCCACCCAGCCCCAGCTACTCTTGAAGCTTCCACTGATCCAGAATGCAGTGGCATGAGTAGTAATAGGCATGCCTTGGTATGCCCCCATAGAGGTAATCCTCACTTAATGACTGCCCGGTTTAACAAACTTTCAAAGTTACTACAGTGGGAAAAAAATAGCTTGGTGATCAATTCTCACATTTAAGAATGTTTCGGCATCCCATATCGACATGAAAACTGCCTGAACACAGTTTTCACAACTGTCACTGTCATAACTAGCTTCCAACAAGCAAAGTCATTGGAAAAGCTGGCAATAAAATTGTAAGTCGTGGTCACATGATATCTTATTTAACTACTGAATGGAAATGAGATTGTAAGAGCATTGCAGTTACGTGATTTTCTGTTTCACGCCTGCAGTGTTTAGTGATGGTGTTGTTGGTCTTGATTGTGGACACTAAGCGAAGATGAGTGTGATTCAAGCTCTGCTTGTTACCTTTAAAACCCTACATAGTGTATACTGTGGTTACTTGAGCAACTGCCTGCTTCCCATAATATCTATAAGGTTTCCCCCTTAGAGACATTTTGCATGAAACAGAAAAAAATGAACATGGATTTGATGATTAGAAAGAAAGATATAAAAAAGAGGGTTTTTTTTGTAATCATAGAGTAAGATGTAATTTTGTATAGTATTTATAGTTGTAATTGCTGTGAAGAAAATCAGAAGCGACTTCTATTTCTTTTTCATCCTCTCACACTTTTTGCTTTTCCATTGTTTTCTTTTTTCCTTTATTTCTTTTCTTTATATTGATTATTGTTAAATTTTACCTCATTTTTAACATTTTTAATATAAATTATATGAAAAAAGAAGAAAATTCACAGGACTTTAGTTGATCTTTTTTCCATTTTTGTCTCTGTGTTTTAATTTTTTTTCTTTTTTGCAGCGCTGGGAAATGAAAGTGATGCAGTCTAAAGCAACTGAAGGTTTCTTCCACCACAATCATGTTCTGTCCCAGTTCACCCTGCATCTTCCGTCCAGCTTCCAAGCCCTGCAGAATATAGGTTGATGACTGATTTCTTTCAGCAAAGACTCTCTTAGAGAGGAATTATTGCTCAGTATGAAAGCATGGACATCAATTCAGTTCCAGCATCTTCTGCTGTGGGATGAGTAGGAAACAATAGAGAATAATTTGCCTTTTTCAGACATACGTAATACAAAGTTCAACATCATTCGGTGTCTCTTAAGGGGAAATTATAGGAATCAAACTCATTGCTAATTGCTAATAATATGATGGAGAATTTTTTTTTGCCAGAGCTACTTTTGCCTTTAAAAAAATGTTTTGAGTTTGGAGGGCTGCAGGAAATGTGCCATTCCTGATGGGGGTGGGGATGACCATTTTGGGCTTTCTATGTTTGGAATCTTAAGGGTTATATTTTATTTTAAAAATGTGCATTAAGATAAGTAGAACATAATATTTAGAAAGTTATTTCTTTTAAAGAAAAATGAAAAAAAGAAGAAGAAAAGCAAATTTGCCACTGAATTTCAATGCAGTGATTTTGGATACTGGAGGTAGTACTGGAGGCCACATTTGGCCTGCAGAATATGACCAGCTGATATATTGTGTAATAGAAATATTCTTGTAGATATAAAAATATAGCCAGAACCTAATGGTGAAATAATTCAGTGAAATGTTTCCAAATCTAGTGTTACTTGTAATGGCTGTATTTGCACATCAGACTAAGCCTGAATTTTGAAGTCTTCTTTGCTTGTTATTTGTTTACTCCTGCTGACTCCTCCTGCCTGTTGAATAGACTAAACAAAATCATAAATACTATCATGATATGGGAAACCAGAGAATCTGGCTCATTCTCCTTCTAAGCTATAGTAACTTTTTATAACAAAGCATAGTTACAATGAGTGGTCTCATTCTAATGCTGGTCAAGTGTAACAAATAAACGAAACTTTTCTGGGCTTATTCTCTTTTAACAATAAGTACAAATTCTAATGTCAGTCTGCCTTGTTTATAATGCATGCACCAAGGGTATATAAAATGTGCATTTTACACATTCAAGAGAAGCACTTTCTTATATGGGCAACCTCTATAAATGTGTGTAATTCTGTTCTCAGACTCCGGTCTCAGTAGTGGGCATTCATTTGAGATGGGCAACAATTTAAATTTGGTTAATAGATAAATATTGCTGGGAAACGATAAGGCTACAAATTTACATCAGAAGTACTTGAAGTTGAAAAGACAATTCAAGAAAAATGCAAAATGTTTAATGATATTTAATCTTTTATTTAAATAATATTTCTTTAGGTGTTACTGCAGGCAGACGAATGCGTCAGTTCACTAACTGTACAACACCAGCAGTAGCAGCTGAACTAGTATGTAACTTTGTTATTTCCATACAATTTTAACATTTCAGAAAAGGCGAAAATGTCAATTCAGCCATGGATGGAAACACAAGCCTCTGTGCTGGAAAATACCTTCTGCCAAAATTGGACAAAGCCCCAGGTAAAAAATATGGGGCACCCCAGGGGACTGGAGGCAGTTCTGGGAGACCTGATGCAGGCCACACATGAGTTGTGGGGGTGCTGAGGATAAATCTCTTCACCTCAGGGAGGATTTGCAGTACCAAAATGGAGAGTCTTGTCCTCAGCACCCCCCAAATTCTATGCGGTGTCTGCAGGGCCTTCCAGCACCTTCCCCACTACCCTGAGACATCCTGCCCGCCTTACCTGGGAGATTGTCCACTTAAACAGCTACAAGATCACTCAACAACCACAACCGAGAGTGTTGGGATTGCAGTTGTTGAGTGAATTGGTCACATGACATCTTGGATAACCACTGCTTTGCTCAACAACAAAGTCTAGTCCCAATTGTGGTCATAAGTTGAGAATTACCTGCCTAGCTTTAATATATTCCATATTCTCAAATGATTCACATAGTCAAAGGCCTAGCTGAAGTCAATAAAGCAAAGTTAAATCTCATTTTGGCATTTTCCTGCTCTGTTATTAATTGGTCATTATGTGATTTTGTTTTCCTCTGCCTTTCATTTCACATTCATTTGGTATTACTCTTTTTATGCATGACTATGTTTTTCATCATAAAATTTTAAGTGAAATGTTGCTAGTATAAGAATAATTGGTAATTATGCAGTCTCTTGCATTTCTCATGGGTAAAGAGTTATACACCGATCACCAACCTGTAGATCAAACTTTGTTGCTCAACTGTATATTTGTTGGCATAAAACAGTTTGCACTTTAATACACTCTTGTGGAGGGTTAGCAGAATTATTTTTCTGCGAAGAAAAAAGATGGTAGAAACTGTGAGAAAATATGGATGGATTACAAAATAGACTCCCCATAAAACATCATGAGTGTGGTGAAGCACTTGAACCACATACACACACACACACAGATACCAAGAAGGAGGGGGAGAGAGAGAGAGAACTGAAGCTATATACTTATTTTCATTAATGTAAGAACTGCAAAGGTGTATATAAATGCGCACACATGCAGGAAGGATTGTATTTCAAAAACATTCAAGGGAACTTCCATTAATTAAATATTTAGGTCTTCTACCTCCCTCAATGGAAGTCTTTGGGTAAAAGCTACAGAGGCTTGGGTCAGCTCTAGCTTTTATGACTGCAATTGGATGGTGCCTCCAGTTCCATAATTCAATAAAACAATGCATCTAGATCAGTGTTGCCAAAACGGGAGTGTGCGTGAACCTTTTTGGCACTGAGCGGTGAAATGGGAGCATGTGCGTGTGCCGGAAATCAGAAAAGCAGATGATCTTCCTGTTTCCGGTGCGTGCATGCACCTCTTCCGGTTTCTGCCATGCAGGCACGCACGAAGACCAGCTGTCTGGGGTGAATGTGCTGGATCCACCTGGCCTTTCGAGGGTCCTTGCACCCCCATGCCCACCCCCCTGCCTGCCACCCTGCCCACCCCCCTGGTCCCTGTTGGGGTAGTGGGACATCCCCACCTATGACCTGCTTCTGCAGCCCTGGACAGGGAGAGGAATGCTGCCTCCATCCACTGGAAAGCCAGAGCTCCTTCCTGGCCTTGGAGGTAAGAGTCGGCGTTCCCGGTGGTTGGGTTGGGGGACTAGCAGGTGGGAGAGTTTTGTGCCAACTCTGGCTGGGATCAAGCACTCCCCCCCAGCCCATCACTGAGAACAAGACAGCACAGCCCCCACTTCCTGGTTGCTTCTTGGCCAGCATGCCTCTTGCCTCTCAGCAGCGACTCCATGCTGTGCTCTCCTCCGGCCCTCCTGGGGCAGCTCACCTCCCTGATAGTGGCACCTCCTTTTCCTCCCTGATAGTGGCACCTCCTTTTCCTCCTGCTCCAGCATCTTGGTTGGGAATGGGAGCATGAGAACCACCACCGCCCCCTTGCAGTAGGAGCAGTGGGTGGGGCGGGTGCCCAGCCAGCAAACTCTGCCCTGTGCACCTGAGCTAGCCAGGCGTTCTGGACCATGGACATGTGTAAAGTGCCACGGGCTGGAGGGCTGGGGCTGCACAAGAAGCCTGCTTGGGTGGGGAGGGAGGGAAACCCCAGCCTGCCCATCCTGGCTGGCAGCTCTTCTCCCCTTGCTCTTCTGTGTCCCAGCGTGCCAGCCACCTGGTCTTTCCATGTGCATGTGTGCTGGAAACTGGAGAATGGTTTTCCTCATGTGTGCATGCACACCGGGTGACTTCTCTTTTGGTTTCTGGTGCTCCCGCATGCATAAAGATCAGCTGGCCAGAACCCGGAAGAGCGAGGTGACGGCTCACATGTCCAAAGAGATGGCTTTGCATGCTACTTCTGGCATGCGTGCCATACATTTGCTGTCATGGAACTAGATTAATTCAAGAAGAGACTGGACAGCCATTTGTCCAGAATAGAATAGAGTCCCTTGCTTGAGCAGGGGATTGGACTAGAAGACCTGCGAGGTACCTTCCAACCCTATTATTCTGTTTCTAAGATTCTTTGTTGGATGAATAGAATCAATTCAATTTCCCTAAATTTCATTTTCCAGTCAGCTCCTCTAAAATGATTGAAACATGTTCAAGCAACTGTGCTCAAGGAAAAAAAAAACCTCCTTAATGGAGATAGAATTCTTAAATGATTGGGTGGGTTTTTTTTTTTTGAAGATCTCTAAAGGAAAAGAAAAAAGTGTTTTTCACAGAGACTAGAGTGTAGAAATGCAGAATTAAAATATTGTTTGGCATTTCATATCAGAAGAACCCCCTCTTGCAGGATTAAACCTCCTGGGTGGTTATAGTTCTTACAGTGATAAGGAAAAGGTCTCCAAAAGAGGTAGGAAGTCTATATAACACCAAAGAAGAATTGAACATGATTTCCTGCCACATGAGATAAAGCTTTGATGCCCGATTTCCTATTTCTTTGGAAAATAAACTTGCATAATTTATGTTAATGAAACAGTACATGGGCTGCTCTGAGATAGGATACTACAACTTTGGATATTGAATGATTTTTCCTGATAAGCTTTCTTTTATCTAGGAGTCTTCCCAGTCTAGTGGGGCCGTCCTTTCTCTGCCTCCTGGCCTTAGCTATCCTATCCAAATACCCCCTGGTGTGACTCTTCAGACAACCTCTGGTAAGAGTTAATGGTATAGCCTTCATCATGTTTCTCTGCCTCAGGATTTTTTAAGATGGGTGGACTTCATGCTGGTTGGGGGAATTCTGGATGTTTGAAGTCAACCCATTTTAAAGTTCTTGAGGTTGAGAAACACTGGCCATGAGCATAATTTATGCAGTGAGTATAATAACAATAACAATAACAATAACTTACCAAGGGAATGCAACAGGGAAATAGTGAAGTGTTAATGTTAATAATTGAAACTTCTGCAAACTTAATGCCTAATTATTTGTTCTGGTTCCCTCTTAATGAATTTTATAATTCAAGTACTTGTTTTAAGAAATTCTCCCACCTTATGAAAATCTTCAGCTTTCCCGATTCTTTGAAGAGAGGGAAAACTGCAGTGTGGACAAGTGTGTGTACAGGGGTAAAAATAATAACAATAATGATTCGATAGACTAATGCTGATGCTGATATTTTAATTAAAGAAGCTTGCATGCTGGAAAGCAACTTTATCCTAGCCAGTGCGAGTTTCTTACAGTCTGAAGTTCAAAAGCACAACATGAAGCAATAGATAAGAGGGGAAGTGCGTTCTGCCTTAGTAGAAATGTAGTTTGGATACTTTAGAGCAGGGGTGTCAAACTCTCGGCTTGCAGGCTGGATGAATCTCTAGCCATGCCCACGCTTGGTTTAGCAAAGGGGGAAAAGTCATGATACATCACATCATGATGCCATTATGACATGAGTTTGATCTCCCTGCTTTAGAGAGCATTTAAGGCAATGGGAAATCATATAGGGGAGCTTTCCCTAACATGGGGCCCTCTGGATATTGTAAGATACTTTTTCAGTGCTAAGTTGAAGTGCTATCCGTCCAGCTAACCACTCTTAAGACAGCAAGGCTGGAATGAAATTTGCTCTCCTTATTCTTCTATTGCTTCTTTCCCCTTCTTTGACTTCCTTCCAAGATACTGGGGAACAAAGCCTAAAATCAATAAAGGAGAATATTTGTAGCTCAGGATTGAAATGAGGGATCTTTGGTACTCTCGGAGCTTGCTTGTTTTCTTGCAGACGTTTCATTACCCTAAATAGGTAACATCATCAGTGCTAGTAAGGAGTGCTGTTTTCTGTCAGTTAATATTCTGTGTCTTGCCTGTCTGTATGGATGAAAGTGGTGTTACTTTGGTTGGGTTGTTTACTGATGGCTCTTTGGCAGTTTCTTGATTGGGGTATTGCTTACGACTGCTGGTCTGAATTTAACCTTGGAATTAGTCTATGCCAGGGGTTCCCAAACTTGGCAACTTTAAGACTTGTGGACTTCTGGGAGTTGAAGTCCACAAGTCTTAAAGTTGCCAAGTTTGGGAACCACTGGTCTACACTGATTGCTGATTACTGGTGAAGAGATGGAGCCTTTTTCTCTTTTGGGCTGGATGAAGCCTGAAATATTTTTTGTGGCAGTGTAAGAATAAGGGGGATGCAAATATTTGAATTTGAATTTGAATTTGAATTTATTAAAATTTATAGGCC